TATACACATGGAATCATACAAGATATGGCCTTTTGTGTCTGCTTTTTCTAATTAAATATTTTCATTAAAAACATTTCATAATCTTTTTAAGGTTCATCCATGTTGTAGTACAAATCAGTACTTCATTTCTTTTTATTGCTGAATGTTATTCCATTGTATGGAATACAGTGTATAATTTTTTATCTACTTACCAGTTGATGTATGTCTGGATCATTTCTACTTTTTTGGACATTGTGACTAATGCTCCTATGAATATTTCTGTGCAAGTCTTTGTATGAACATATGTTTTCATCTCTCTTGGGTAGATACCCAGCAGCATTGCTGGGCTGTATAGTAAGTTTATGTTTAACTATTAAGGAAATTGCCAAACATTTTTTCTAGAGTGCCAGTACCACTTTACATTCCTACAATGTATGAGGGCTTTAAATTTTCCACACCTTTGTCAACACTTCTGTCTTTTTACTTATAGCCATTCTAGTAGGTATGAAGTGATATCTCATTGTAGTCTTAATTGTTTATTTCTCTAATGTTTAATGAAGCATCTTTTTATGTGGTTATTGAACATTTATAAACCTTCTTCAATGAAATGTGTATTCAAATCTTTTACCCATTTTCTAATAGGATCATTTGTCTCTTTAATATTGATTATAAGGGTTCTCTATATATTACAGATAGAAGTCCTTTATCAAATATATGATTTGTAAATATTTTATTCCAGTATGTGGCTTGTCTTTTTATTTTTTTTAACAATGTTTTTTGAGGTGTAAAAACTTCATCTTTGGTAAAATTCAATGTACCAGTTTTTTTTCTTGAATGCATCATCCATCATACAGCTGGTGTCATATCTAAGAACTCTTTGCCTAACTCAAAGTCACAAAGATATTCCCTTATATTTTCTTTTAAAATTTTATAGTTTGGGTTTTACATGTAGGCATATAATCCATTTTGAGTTAGTTTTTGTGCATGGTATGTGGTAAGAATCAAAACTTTTTTTTTGGTATATGGATATCCAATTGTCCCAGCATGATTAATTAAAAGACATCCTTTCCCCACTGAATTGCCAAAAATCAACTGACCATAAATAAAAGGATTTATTTCTAGACTCTCAAATATATTCCTTTGATTGCCTATGGTTATGGCAATACCACACTGTACTTATTACTACAGCTGTATGGTAAGTCTTGAAATCTAGTAGAGTGAATCTTCCAATTTTGCTCTTCAAAATGGATTTTGTTATGCTGGATCCTTTACATTTCTACATAAATTTTAGGATCAGCATGTCCATTTCCATAAAAGAGCCTACTTGGATTTTAATAGGGTTTGTGTTTAGTTTATAGATTCATTCGGAGATAATATTGAACCTTCTAATCCTTGAACATGGAATGTCTATTTATTTAGATCTTCTTCAATTTAGTTCAGCACTGTTTTTCTATATCTCAACATACATGACTGTTTTATACTTTTTTGACAATTTTATTCCAAGGTGTTTTATTCCCTTTCATGCTATTATTAACAGAATTATATTCTTAATTTCATGTTCAGATTGTTCATTGCTGGTACACAGAAACACAATTTATTTGTATATACTGATCTTATACCCTGCAACCTTGATGAACTTGTTTATTAGTTCTAGTAATATTTTTGTAGATTCTTTAGGATTTTCCACATACAGAATCATGCCATCTGCAAATAAAGAAGATACTACTTCTTTCTCTCCAAGGAGATTCCTTCCTTTCCTTTTTCTCCCTTCCTCCTTTTCCTTTTTTCCTTTCCTTTCTTTTCTCTTTCTCCTTTCCTTACTGCATTGGCTAGAGTCTCCTGTATAATGTTGAATAGAAGTGGTGAAAGTTAAAATCTTTGCCTTGTTCCTACACTTAGGAGGAAAGCATTTGGTCCTTTTTGCCATTAAGTATAATATTAGCTGTAGGAATTTTGTAGATGCCCTTTATTAAAGAATGAGGAAGTTTCCTCTATTCTCAGTTTGAGGATTTTATAATGAATGGATGCTGGGTTTTGTGAATTCCTTTTTCTGTATCTATGGAGATAATGTGGCTACTTTTATTTTATGAATATGCTATATTACATTAACATTAATTTATTTTGAATGCTAAATCAACCTTGCATCCATAGGATAAATTCCACTTGTTTGTGGTATACCATCTTTTTTTTGTTACTAGACTTGGTTTTCTAATATTTTATTAAGGATTTTTCCATCTACATTCATGATGTAGTATTAGCATTTGTCTGTAGTATTAGGTATTAGTCTGTAGCTTTCTTTCCTTGCAATGTCTTTGTCTAGCTTTGGTATCAATTAATACTGGCCTCATTAAATGAGTTGGGAAGAATTTCCTCCTCAGTTTTCTGAACATGTTTATGAAGGATTAATATTATGTCTTTTTCAAATATTTGCTAGATTTCATCAGTGAAGCAATCTATACCTGGACTTTTGTTGGAAGATTTTGAATTACTAATTCAGTGTCTCTACTAATTCTAGATTCACCCAGAATTTCTACTTTTTTAAATAAATTTTAGTAATTTGTGTCTTCCTAGGAATTTTTCCATTTCATCTAAATTGCCAATTCTGTTGGCATACATACATTCCTAATATTACCTTACAATCATTTAAATTTCTGTTATGTTAGTAGTGATGTCCCCTCTTTCATTTCTGATTTTGGTAATTTGTGTCTTCTCACTCTTTTTCTGGCTAGTCTAGATCAGTGTTTTTTATCTGGGGGATAGGGATACTTGCTGATAACTGGAGATAGTTTAGGTTGTCACAACTGGGGGTGTGCTGCTGGCATCTAGTAAACAAAAACAAGGATATTTCCAAACATACTACAGCAGACAGGGCAGTCCTCCACAACAAAGAATTATCTAGCCCAAATGTCAATTACTACTGAAGTTCAGAAATCCTGGCTAGCAAAAAGTTTGTCAATTTTGATGATCTTCTCAAAGAACCAGTATTTGCCTTCATATGTTGTAGCAACTCTGGATTCTGATTATTTTTACTACTGAGGGTTGCTATTGTTCTTTGTCTTTTGTTTGTTGCTGTTGTTTAGTTTCTTTCTCTTTTTAGTAACGTGGCTGGACCAATGTGTGTGATCTGTTTCCTGCTCTGTGCATGCCTGCTGATGTCTCTGTTTAGCTTTTTTTTTTTTAATTCTTGTTTTTATTTTTAAGGCAAACTTCCTATGGACCACCCCTGCATGTGCACAATTTAGTTGTCAGTTAATAAGTGTTTTGAGGTTGTGCTCAAACACTTCAAGCCAATGAGTTCTGAACCCTCTTGCAGTAGTTCTGTGTGTTGTTTTTAGAGTTCATTCAAAATCAGACAGTTTTCAAGTGTCGTCTAGCAATTACTTCCCATGGGCCTTTTCATATTCATGCACGTGCTTAGGCTCATAGTCAGCCAGGGATAATTTGATAGCTTGGGCTTGCTCTAGTCTTCTCTCTTCTCACCGCTCCCCACAAGAATGTTTGGAGAGTTTGTCAAGGCCCTGTTATGGCTGCCTTGATCAGATTTCCTGTTAAATTTCTGGCTCATTCATGGCCTCTTGCTTATCCAAACCAGGACCTCAATCTCAGATTTGCTGAGCTGCTAGGCTTCCCTAATTCCCTAACTAATTGTAGGAGCTTTTTTTACCAAATCACATAGGATTTTTTTTTGGTATTCTAATATATTTTTAGAAAAATATGTAATTTCATATTTTATTTAATCTTTATAATTCCATTTTGTCATATTTGCTAGAACGTTTAAAACAATATTAATTAGTAATAGTGTGAATCTGTTTTGTTCCTGATGCTAATAAAAATTGCTTTATCATTTCAACATAGGGTTGAAACTCATACACAATGGGTTTTTTGATATTTAGTGTTTTAAAAATCATATTATAAAGGTTTGTTAGTTTTAAGTTAGCATCTTTATTAGTATGACTAAAATTTTGTCAATAGTTTTCAGCGTCTATTGACAGTTTTGTATTTCCCCCTTTAATATACTAAGACATTAATTATGTAGTAGATATTCTTATATAAATTCTTCCATTCATGCCTACAAAACATATTTATCCTATGGAAATATTTTTTGATTCACTAAGTTTGACTTAAGATTTCATCTTAAGTTTTGCATATATATTCATAAATTAGGTTAACTTGTAGTTTTCTTTTTAAAACTTTAAAATCAAGTTTGACTATTAAGGTTATAATGGCTTCACATTATGAATCTGAAGGTTTTCAGAGTCTTCTAAGATCAGGAATAGCTTAAAAACATTAGAATAAACTATTCTTTAAAGGTTGAACACAAGTAAGCTTTGAAACCATTTGATCTCAATGTCCCCCCTCTTTTGTGGTGGACTTTGAATCTTCCCAGTTTTTTTAAACTATAGTACGTAACATTGAGTTTCAGAGCTAAGTTTCCTGGCATGCTTTGGAAAAATTATATTAATGGCATTTGATATTTGTGTTATATCTTTGTTCCAAGGAGTTCAAACTGTATTATAGAAATCAGGTATCAGAATATTAGAACTGGAAGGAACCTTAACAATAATCTAAGTCAACCTTTTCATTTGATAAATGAGTTCACCTAAATACTAATTTCACACAATTTAGTCTCACTAAAAGAGTAGTTTATTGGCAGTAACTTGAGATGTAGAAATGTTCATATTTGATATACAGTCAGATAAATCTCATAATATTTGGTTTAGGAAATGTTGGGATCCCTCATTTTCCAGAATTAGAATAAGTAATGTGCTTTTAGCCAGGAATTGAAATCCCTGACAACTGTTTTCTTAGAGATAATTCTTCACTCAATAGCCTGACTGCCTGTTACCTTTTCTAAATCATGCTTACTTGTTTGTGTACATTGGTTGTGAAGACTAATAGGCAGACATTGTCATATATCCTCACTGTACTCTCAACTCACTCTCACCTGAAAATGAACACATCTGTAACAAGACTGTGCCATTTCCTTATGATCATTAGATTCTCTTCCACATCTGACTTACCAAGTCTTTGTCTAAAGCCCCTGGGACAGACTTGCTTCTTATGCTTAAAGTATCCTCTAAGTCTTCTGTAAATGACCCATTCAAATCTAACTCAGACTGACTCCGGTCTGGAGAAAGGAAAAGAAAATGAAAGATGTAAATCACCTTATTTTGTTAGAAGATTTCATTTTTCATTACAATTGTTTCATCTTTATTCCATTTCTTTCTAGGCACAGGGCATAGATAATGTCTTGAAAACAACAGTCAGGATCACAGCTTCATGTTTTTATGCTAACATACTTTCATTTTTCATTAGCATTTTGCAATTACCTTGGACCGAATTGCCAACAACAATGTGTTCATTTCTCCTTTGATCACAGGAGGTTAAATTCTCTACTATAAAATGCTAATTTTTAAGCTGTTTAAGCCTTCTGTTTTGCTTATAGGTTTTGGAAAATTCTCAAAAGAACAGGCCCTTAAGGTTAGAAAAAATAAAACATTAACCAATCTTGATTTAAATATTTAGAGAATTCACCATTTTCGTATTTGACATAAAATGCAACTAAATGATATAGCAAATTCCTTGCACACAAAAAGGGAGTGACTATAGGTAAATTGAGACCAAGTTCTATTTATTTAAGCACCAGAATATTCTTTCATCAGAAGAACATCTGGCTTTTAAAAATACAAGTTAAAGAACAATGCACTATTCCTTAATGGTGTGGACATCTTACCAAGACACAGACAATATTTCCAAAGAACAGTTCTATGTCAAAGTCCTGCTGAGATAGATACAGTTGCTTATAAGCAAGAAAGACTAAAGAGAGTAAGCAAATATTTAAGTTTGAAATGGTAAATGAAATAATGCAGAAAGGCTTAGCAGAGTGCTTGATACAGAGTATGCACTCAGTTAACAGGAGCTGTTGAGTAGAAGTAGGATAAATACACTCTATGAGGTTGGCTTCTGGGCTGGTTTAAAATTGTTCATGTAACAGGTGAACTGATTTTCTCATTTTGACCAAAATGCAGGAACCACACACATTTAGAAAACCAGGGAGCCACCTGGCTAGGAGAGACTCCCCAGCTCAGCACACAGCCTTAGACTTTGTGCAAATTATCATTAGGTGACAGGTAACTTTTTCACGTTGGCAGTTTTATCATGATTTTAATTCTACACATGGGACATAAACTTCATAATCATGTCAAATTTCTCGGAAATTTATTCATAGGTAATGAAATTGCAGCACACGTAACACGTTCTTCAGAGGGTTGTTGTGATGATCAAGTGGAATGATATATTTTGAGGTACCATACAACTGAAAGAGGTTATCATTAATACCTTAATGCTGCTTGCAAGTAACTCCTCGTTTAAAACATGAAATGATTAATCTGTCTAGATATAGGGCATTTATCACCACCATATCAATCGAACTACCATTTCCTTGAACTCTGGGCAAGTGCCCTTATCCTTCATACCAAATGAGCCAATTATATTTCCTAGACTCTTACACTGGTATTTAGTGTAGCTCTGACACTTGGCAGTGATGACTGATGAGCCTATACACTTGCACATCTGAATGGATTGTGCCTGAGGCAACAGGCTCAAGACATCACCTGGGTCCACCTTCAAGCGGTTGTTACGGAGTAGGCCTACCACCATGGGTCAAAGAATGGACACTGATGTTCTAAGGCATGAAGTACCTATTTAATGCCACACGAGGGAGCCAAGCCCACCTGATTTAGTCCTTTTTTTTTTTTTACCACAGAGTAGTTTTGTTGCAAATACTCACCTGAGCAGAGGGAGGCCTCAGACACTGCTATGGAAGGGGTACCGGAAGTGTTTCTGTGATGCCTCTTTGTGAGGCCCTCAGTGATGCTTTCAACAGCAGCCAAATCCATGGAATTCTCAAAACCACGTTCCTTCTCACAAATTGGAAATGGAAAAAAAACATTATCCTGACTGTGATGTACTTTAAAAATCCTTCTATATATATATATATGTCAGTATAACCACATTTATGTGGTTTTTCCCTAAAGCTTTCTTCAAGGTCAGGGTCTTTATCTATGAAAAAATAGTATACAGTTATTTGTCACTGTGTGAAGCCACAGCCAGCCTTAAACTAGTCCTTTCTGGCTAAGGGTTAGAACAATGAATATGAGTACAAGTGTTTGGGCTGCTTTTAGTTTCTCTTAATAAAAATTACTAGATGACAGAATTCAAGAACTTGTTATGGTATTATTACTTGGTATGGGTACTGATAATCATCTAACAGTAAAGATTCTTTGTCATGACAAAAAAGAAAGCTCCTCTTGAGGGGGAGCGAGTTGACATTTGGAGGACCCTTATCAGGAGTCCACAGAACTCTCAAACTTACTATCAATAATTACTCTCTAAAATCTATATGAAGAGGTTTGTTAATTGGCAAAAAAAGGTGTTCAAAATAATTTTTCATTCACAAAGTTAGTAAGTGTTCTACTATGGTTAGCCAAAAAGATAATTCAGGTACCTCCAATCTTACATGAACTCGGTCTAAGAAACTGGCAAGCTTCACACCCTCCGAGTAGGACTTTGGCTCAGAGCTCTGTCTGGCCCTGTGTTTGTTGCACCCTCCACACCCTCTCTCCTCAACTATCCTTTACCTCTTCTACCTCCACTTAAAAGAAGACCATGCCACCTTTTCCATTTAGCAGGTTGGATGACCAGAATGCGTTAGCTACATCATTATTAGAATGAATGTTTCACACAAGTTCATACAAGGATAAAGAATGGGGACTTCCCCAGCTTACAGGAATAGGTGACGTTTTTGGGTGCCTGCTTGCTAATAAATGCTGTGCATGTGGCAGAGTTCAGTCTGAGACTTGCTTTCATTGTAACATCTGACAAAGGAAAGCTCTGTCCCAATTTTGCCTGTGCCCATAGGGGCTTGACTATGCTATCCAAGCTTGTACGGGCATTAAAAAATTAATTTTGGGCCTTTTGAGAACTGGGCCGGCAATAAATGTTCCATACAGATGACATCATGGTGTGGTAATGACCAAACCAAAAAGAGGCTTTTCAATTTCTGCCTCCATAAACAATCAAAAAGTGCCTTTTAAAGTCATACAAAAGGAATTCCCTCCTTGTTGCCTGGTATTTCACCCACATCTTAGATTTTGAGGGAGACTTTGATAAACTCTAGAGAGATGTGATGCTCACTTGTTTAGCATGTCAATCAGTGCAGCTTCAATCTAGACTGTTTTTGGTCTTTGATCAGTCTCCAATACATCCTGCAGGAGGAGGAATATAATTTCCAACACCTCCAAATGTCATAGGTTTATCAAAATACTGTGATGGAGGTCAAACAGATAAATTAGGTCAGCTTTCAACAGCTCTTCAAAAAGTCATTCACATGCGAAGTCCTCCAATGAAACATGACCTACTTCTTTAGTGGCAATTGGGTTGACAGTACTTTTTCCAACTGGCCCCCTGGAGACTAGTGTTAATATTGAGCACTAATGGGCCAAATAATAGTGTCCAGTCATTAACCCTCAATACATATCCTGGAGATTCAGGATGTGAAATCTAAAATTAACAAGTTATGTCATAGCAGAAGACAAATTAGAGACTTCCATGTTCTAAGAGTATTCCATTTTAAAAACGTACTTCTCACAAGCAAAAGCAGAAAAGAACATGGGAACAAAGAGATGCTGGGAGGTGGGAGAGACTGAGAAGTTGTTACCTCAAGCATCATTTAACTCTGCATTCTTCTGCCCTTCATAAAGACTAGCTAGATCAGCTAGAGTGCAAGTGTGAAGTCAACCTAGGCACTGTGTTTATCTGTGTACATATACTCAACTCGACTGCAGGCAATTCCTGCTGGGGAAATCTAGGTGTTGTTTAACAAGAGAGTACTCCTAGGGGGCTGTCAGGTATACTTGTAGAGGTTGTTAGTTTTGAGGATCATAGCACCTAAGAAGCGTGATTTCCCCCCCTAACAATGGTGCTTAGGAAGATAATCCTTGTTTTGAGCACAAACTTGACTAACTTATCTGGTTACTGGACTGACAGCCTGCTGCTACCCACTGGCACAGCTGTACCAGCTGTTAAAAATTCTAAAATGCTTCTGTGCCAGTCAGGAAACAGCGCTACTCTCAGTCCACCCCCGCTTCCCTGTCCTTCTCCTCCTCCAAACCGCACTTCTCCCCCCAGTACAGGTTAATGCATGGAATGGAAGGGCCCCTGGGATACTGCCCCAGCCTTGTGCCAGTGCCTGCTCTGACTGCTCAGTGAACCTGCCCTACCAGTTGCTAAATATTTTGAACATCATTCCCTGTTAGGTTGCCAAAGAAGTGTGCATAATCACCAACTACCCATGCACTTCTCTGGCTACTGCTTGCTGAGCCCAGTATAAATATTTATGAACTTATAAATGTGCCTTTTATCAGCAATTACAGTTTAGACTATGCTTAAATAAATCTATTACTATTATTCAATCTGTCTGAATGCCTTTTGGCTCTTCCTTAAAAATTTATAGAATCTGACCTCCCACAACCTCTACTTCTGTCTCCCTGTTCCAAAGGCCAGGCTCTCGTCTGCAATAATGCAATGGCCTCCTAACTTGTCTCCTGGCTTCTGCTCTTGTTCCTCACAGCTGCTTCTCAGCACAGCCCCAAGATTGTGTATAAACAGAAGCCAGATTATGTCATTCCTTTGCTCAAAACCCTCACACTGCCCCCATCTTATTCCCAGTAAATGCCAAAGCCCACCCAGGGTCTCCGAGGCCCCATCCAGCCCTACTACCTCTCTGAAGTCACTTCCTAGTACTCCTCCCTGTGCTCACTCACAACAGCCACACGGGCCTCCTTGCTCTTCTGGAACATACCGGGCATGCTCCCACCTCAGAGCCTTTGCACTAGCTGCTCCTCCAGGGGCATTGAACATATTTTAGACATTGGCTGAGCAAGGGCACTGACCATTCAAGATGAAGGTCAGCCATAAGTAACTGGAACAGTCTCCCCAGTATGCACCTGCTGAATACCAATGCTGTCCTCGCCTGGAGGAACACTTTGCCCCAGACTCCTGCTTGGCTGCCTCTTTCACTTCTGTCAAGTCCTTACTTGACCAGGGCCTGGCATTTGGTAGCCCTCATTAAATATTGGCTGATCCAAAGAATTATAGTTCATATATAAAGATTTCTTAAATATAGATGTCAGTTACAGGTATGGAGCTGCTTGCTTAATCAAAAAATCTAATAGATGCTCATTCATTCCAAAGAATGATCCCCCATAGTTTATATGTATAATACAACTGAAGTGTTCATTATGTGTTGATCCCTTATTTCACCAGATGTCTAGAAAACTATAAAAGGATCTCACAATTTTACTTTTCCTGATTTAGATCAGTTTGGAATATTTTTAGTGCTGTCAACTTCTGACTGTCTTGAAAAGGAACACAGAGGATCCAGACCGGAGACCCCTAAAACTATTTAGATGTTGTTTAAGCCACATAGTCATTTTAAACTCCCATCACACAAATCCCAGCCTTGAATGGGCCCCTTCCCTTCCCTTCTCACTTCAGGCTTCCTGCTGAGAGCTGAAAATGCAGGAGGTTCAGTCCTGATAAAGAAGCATCCACCATTAAACAGCATAAGCAATGTGTTCTGTGAGGCAGAGCACTCCAACCCAGCCGTGCCCAGGTGGTGGGGCCCTGTCTCACGGCGGGGTGTCCTCTTACAGTAAGCACTTACCCTACTGCTGACTGACATCCCGCTCCGTGTGCTCGGGGCCGGAGACCTCTGAGGACCTGGGGTCACACCATTGCTCCGGCTGCTCTTTGGAGTCCCAGGACCAGCTTCAAGTTCATTAAGATCCGATGAACCAGTGCTCCCCCTACATGAAAGAGAATATTCCAACTTTCACATAGAGGCAGAGCAGCAGTCAAAGACACAGTCAGGGGAAAATTGACAAGAAAACGGTGACAAGGGGACCACCTGAAGTACACCAGAGCCACACTGGAACTGCTCAGAGACTATCACGTCACCCTCCTACTTAGACACCTGCAGGGGCTCACGAGCTTCAACCCCACTGGTCTGACTCCAGGGTCTTTGTAACTGAGCTTCACCTTACCCATCCAAGGTGATTTCCTACTGCTCAGCCAGTCAATGTTCCCTATAGTCACCCAACTCGCCAAGCCCACACTCACACCTGCACCTCTGAGGCTTTTGCTCATGTCATCCCCACCTAATGTGCCCTGTTTGCTGCTGTTAATGTAAATCTTCCCCATCTTTCAAGGCCCAGATGGAGTCCGGCCTCCCCCATCAGGCCTTTCCTGTCAATCACAGGCCTTGTCAACCTCTGCTTTACTCAATTCCTAGTGACTTGCAGTCTGTGCCTAACTCTGTAGCAGTTGATTACACAATGTCTTGGGTGGCTCCCTAACTGATCCCCGTATGAGGGCCCTGGTGCCTCTTTCAACTATGAGCTCCTTGGAGATGGAGCTCATGGCATACTTACCAGGCTATCGCCAGCACTTTCAGAATGCCTTGGTGCAAAGGGGACATTTGGTACCTATTTAATCAAAGACTGGAAATTGTATTTTATTCCTCTGGGTTGTTTTAGTGTCTGACTCACAGTGCATGTTTCATAAATGGGGTATAAGAATTTGGTAAATGGGCTTGATTCACTTTCATGTTTGCTAAAACTGATTGGATTCTATTCAATAATGATTAATGAAAAAACAGTTCTTCCCTTGAGGTCACCACAATTTTCTTATTAAATGGAGCTTCATAAGTCAATGTAAGTTTTGACAAATTAGCGTTTAAGGGTAATGTTTGTTGTTATTTATTTTTTAACCTTCAGTGAGCACAAAATATGATAAAATAGAATCCCTTATGTATTTCACTCTAGTTACTATTTTAATAAGTTATAAGTACACCTGTAATAATAAACATCTTATTATAAGGCATAGCAGTGAAAGCTAATAGTGATTAGGACTTTCAATTGAGCCACTCAAAGGATGTAAAGGAATAAAGAAAGGGTATTCTTCAAAAAGAATGCCTGTGTATATGTCATTACTAGAAGATAAATCTGGCAGAAGAAAGAATTAGGAATGACTATGGGAGCTGTCAACCACAGCTTCTAAGTGTTCTCAAGGCTATATACCAGAGAAGCCACCAAAATCAGATATGCCTTGACTGATACTACTGTCCATCACCATTCACAATAATTATGCAAATAGCAGCTGCATTTCCTGAGTATTTTCTAGGTAATAGACACTTTCCATTCACCAACATCCCTGTAAAAAAAGGTACAGTCTAAACATTCGTATTTTAAAGATAAAGAAACTGAGTCTTGGAGAGGTCAAACAATTATTCCACACATGCACACGTGTGTACACACACACACACTCCACAACCATGTCACACTGTCAATACAGGACAAAGTCAGGATAAAAACTGAGACTTGTCTGTCTCCCCAAAGCCTGTGCTCATTCTACTTTCTCATATTGCTTATTTAGCATTTCACCAAGATCAAACCATTAGAACCGGACAGGTTGTATATTGAAAGAATGAGCTGTCAACAAGAAAAGAATCAAAGGATCAGAGAGATGGGGGTTAGTTTCTTGGAATTTGATTAAGAGAAGTATGAACATTTTCTGGGTAGCATTCCTTTGATACTACATAGGTTTAAACAGCCTCTGGGCTCTTCTTTCTAGAGACGGCACTCTGAGTAAATTATAGTACCGTAGACTCTGCTCAGAAGGGGCCTATAACTGTGTCTTTTGATTTTGACAAGACAATAAAATTTCGTGATTAGAGTAATACAATTTGAAATTCGAAGTTCCTTTTTCCTGAGGCCTCCTACCTTAGGAAATTTCTACATTTGACAAGAGTTAACCATAGTCATACCTTTCCAAGTGATTTCGCTTATCTCAGAAGTCCTTCTTAGAAGGGGTTTAGAGTAATGCTGTGCCCTAACCATAGGTTTGCTACTCATACGACAATATTACTACAAAAATCTCTCTTTACTGTTTTAGGCAAAATCCCCTTTAAAAAAAAAAGAAAGGCTAGAAGTGAATCTTGCAGAAATTAAACAAAGAAGTACAGTCCAAAGGTACTCATGTAGCTACTTCTGCTTATGTCTGTCCTGAAGTTCCTCCCTGACCCAGATGGTTTTAAAAAGTGTTCCCATCATGGATAAGCTCAGGAGAACACAAAATCCTACTTATGTAGAAACCCTGGCAGAAGCTGATTAATCATGGTGACGACATTCAAGAGGCTATCCTGTAATATGGAAAAAATTTTTATGTTTGTAAGTCAGCTACTGGAAATTATTGTTGAAGAAGCATTATCTCAAAATTACATACTTTCACATGTGTCCCTGACATTTACTGTGAGTGTCTCAAAATATTTTCCTCTCAGTTGATTGTTTCAGTTGATTAGACTATGAAGGATTTAGTCATGATACCACAAATATTTGGGTGCCAACTCTTCTGGATGTTATATAGAATAAGACATAAAATTACATGAATCTTTGCCGCTTAAACAGAAGAGGATAAAAGCTTCCTCAAGCCTACATCAGAGAAGCTTTAAGTTCAATTAAGAGTTATTTTTTATTCAGATACCATGTTATTGATATATAAATTCTAAGTATGAGAAATCTGTGTTGACAAAACAACTACAAAACAACTGATAAGAGCTGCCCTTCCATTTATGAACTGATAATGGTTCCTAGATATATCCATTTCTAGATAAAGGATCCAAGGGTAGGAGACAAAGACTATAAGTAAATGAGTTGCCTTTGTGGTTACGTAACTGTCTCCCAGGAATTGTAGTCCAGAAAGAATTTCCCCCGATCCAGCCTTCCCAGAGGGGGCTGACAAGGCTGGCCTACGTCTGTGTGGTTAAGTAAGTGTTCCCCTGAGGAAGATCAGCCACAAGGTAGCATTAACCTGAGAGATAATGGGACAATGAGGCTAGGGTACAGCATGACACAGACACTGCGTGACATTCTTTCTGCTGTTTATGAGCTTTCTAACTTAGTTATTTCAGATCTGTAAAGAATATGTCAAAAATGGACAGGCAAGGGAGGCTGTACTCAGAAAGGTGAGCCTGTTCAATGGGAAAGAGATGTTAAAAATGAGAACAAGATGCAGTAGACTCATACACACCAAGAGGGGACTAGTGGTTACCAAAGGAGAGCTGCTCAGGAGGATAGGGGAGAGGAGATCAAGGGGCACAATAATTCACAGTCCCAATACAGGTTGGTCACATGGTAATACAGCACGGAGAATACAGTTAATGGTTCTGTAACATCTTACTACATTGGTAGGTAGTGACCACACTAGAGGGGGTGAGGATTTAATAACATGGGTAACTGTTGAACCACTGTGTTGTATATTTGAAACCACCATAAGATTGTCTATCAATGATACTTTAATTTTTTTAATTAAAAAATTAATTAATTTAATTAAATTTAATTAAAAATTTAATTAAATTAAAAAAAATTAATTAAAAATTTAAAAAATTAATTAATAAATGAATTTTAAAAAATGAGAATGAGAAAAAAGTTGACTAGAGCTCAACCTTCCAGTCTTTGGTGATCCCCAAATACTACATCTTTGTCACTGGTCTTATATGAGATGGGTAGTCCTCACCCTTGGCTGCACATCAGAAACACGAAGGGAGCTTTGAAAAATTCCCATGCCCAGGTCACACCCAAGACTGACCACATCAGACTCTCAAGGCATGAGATGTAGGCATCAACATGTTTTATCCCCACCCTCAAGGTGATTCCAATATGCAGCCAAGGCTGAGAAAACACTGGGTTAAACTGTGGATTAGTTTAAATTCCCTAATGTCAGACATCTCTTCACCTGCATTTCCCTGCCTCTCATCCCACTGTTTTCTTTATTCAGTCCAGTGCTCACTCACATCAAGAGAGCTGAGCTGTCCTAATGGCTCAACCTGCGACACATGGAAGGACACTTTCTGTGTTAGTGAGTGAATGTGTTGTACCAGCGGTCAGCAAACTGTGGCCTGTGGATTGAATTGAGCCCACCGCCTGTTTTGTAAGCCAGTGATCTAAGAGTGCTTTTTACATTTTTAAGTGGCTAAAAAAAATTAAAAGAAGAACTTTTTGTAACATGTGAAAATCACATGACATTCAAATTCAGTGCCCATCAATAAAGCTTCATTATAATGCAGGCACGCCCTTCCATTTATGTACTGTCTACAGCTGCTCTCATGCTCCAATGGCAGAGCTGAGCAGTTGAATCAGAGACCATCTGGCCCACAAAGCCAAAAATATTAACTATCTGTACCTTTACAGAAAAGGTTTACTGATCCACATGTGTGTGCCCATGCACACAGGCACATAAATGGAGACAGGGGTGCCTCCATTTAAAAACCACACTCCTTGGAGAGCCCAACATATCCCAAAGGAATGAATTTCAGGTACTGGGTGCATGTGTGTATACATGTGTGTACATATGTGTGTGTCATACTTAGCACAAGTGAACCATTGCAGGAACTTTTGAATGCAGAATTAGGGAGGCAGAAAAATGAGGAAGAAGTGGAAATTCATCAGGCATCTTCTCTAGCTGCACTTTCCTCTGAAGCCACCTATTTCCCTTCCTTTTCCTTTTTGGAAGAAGGACAAAGGTAATACAAGGTGGTGGCACGCAATGAAATTTTGTTCACTGAATCTCAGTGTTAATCACACGAAGAACCCTTATAATTTGATTTATTAAAACAAAAAGATGACTTGTTTGGTGGTTTGAAATGTTTAGGGTTCCCTTAAAAGATCTGTTTACTTTAGAAAGGCTCTCACTAAAATGGAGGTGACAGTCACCATAAGGGAAGGACTCTGGGCATGAAGCAAAAGAAGTT